CAAGTCCAATTCTAAAAAGGCATTGCATACTGGGCATACTGTAACCTGCTTTCCTTTAAGGCTGAGAATGAAGATGATGTTGAGAGTGAGGGATATGTGAGAATTCAGAGACATGAGAAAATACCTCATGAGTGATTGGCTGTAAGGAGAGTGCAGCAAAGAATGGTACTGGTATTTCTGGCTTGGGCAGTAGACTATTGAGGATTTCATCTAAGAAAGGAATCATAGGAAGTAGTACACAGTTGAGGTATAAAAATTATGATTCTGTTTTTATTTGAGGTACTACTATAAATGATGATATTATGTTTAGATGGCAATATAAGAGCACTTAGCCATATATGTCATTGTTTAAAATCTTACCATTTCTTATCTATCAGCCTGAATTCAGCAAGGAAACTCTCTCTCTCTCTTTCTCTCTTTATTTTTACCCACACTTTCTCATTATTTGTTTGTTTGAAACTAACTTTTGTGTCACAATTCAATTTAAGTCGGGAGGCAAAAGAGGTTTTATAGGGGTATAAACTGAGCCATGTACATATGTAAATATATTAATATGTAATGATAAAGATCTAGGTCTAAGTACATATATGTATAGGTTAAGTATTCAGGTAGCAGATGGACATTAGGCCTCTACTCAAGTACTCCCTCAGCACAAGAACACTGTGTTCTAATAACCTGCCATTCTGTGATGCTCACCTTCCTGACACCATTGCTGAAGACAAAATGGGTGCATAAGCAAATGTGGTGAATAAAGCTGATGGTGCCTGGATATCCAAAGATATAGTGTTTGGGATCTTAATGGCTTGAAGTTAAACAAACAGCCATTTAGCAGGGGAGCAACAAAGCCCACGTGGAAAAAGCATACCAACCCTTGGGATCATGAGGTGTCAAAGGGATCAGGAATCAGGCATCAGAAAACCCATAACAACCAACCATTTTGATGCAAAGGAGGGAGATCAGAATGGAGACGCAAAGCCTATCTGTGGACAATTGGACATTCCTTCACAGAAGGGTCACAAGGAACAGACCATCCAGCCATGGTGCTGTATAGCACTGACAAAACACACAACATTCCTCTAGTTCAGGGGTCCTCAAACTTTTTAAACAGGGCCAGTTCACTGTCCCTCAGACCCATGGGAGGGCCAGACTATAGTTTAAAAAGAAACTATGAACAAATTCCTATGCACACTGCACATATCTTATTTTGAAGTGAAAAACAAATGGAGCAAAACACCTGGCGGGCTGGATAATTGTCCTCTGTGGGCTGCATGTGGCCCATGGGCCATAGTTTGAGGATGCCTACTAGCTATTTAATGCTTCCTTCCCGTTCCCCCTTAATATCTTCATCCCAGTTTTACCATACAAATCTGGCTAGACCAGTGCATGTATCCTGGTACAGATAAGAGTTCTTGACACACAGTATCCAGGACAGATAAACCCCTCAGGACCAATAATGAGTATCAGTATTGATGCCATGAGGGTATAGAGAAGGTGCGGGGAACAGGAAGAGGAAAGGGGACCCAATTGCAATGATTGACATTCAACCACACACACCCGTCGCCCCCAGGGAGATGAACAAGAGAAATGTGCATGAAGGGCGACAGCAGATGTTGTAAAATATGAAAATAAAAACACCGTATTTACTCAAGTATAAGCCAACCCGAATATCAGCCAATGTACCTAATTTTACCACAAAATCTGCATTAAAAATGTGCTGAAAAACTCAGTTTATACACGACTATATACAATAATTTGTAGATTATCAAGGGTTCACGAGGATGGGAGGATGGGAGAGTGGGGACGGGAAATGAGCTGATACCAAGGGCTCAAGTAGAAAGAAAATGTTTTGGAAATTATGGCAACGTATGTACAAATGGGCTTGACACAGTTGATATAGGGACTGTTGTGAGAAGTATAAGAGCCCCCAATAAGATGATTTATTACAATACAAATAGACTTTAAGTCATTTTCACGTTTACTTTTCCTCTATTTATACTTACTCAGACCAGTGTTTAGGTCGGGTTGGTATGGCATCTGGGGGGGTTTGACCGTTTTTTCTCTTCGCCTCTTTTTTTCCCGTTAACTCTTGTTTATTTAATTTTCCCTTTTGTTGTGGAATCTGGTCCATACGAAGAAAAGCATAATATGGAGAGCTGTACAGCCCATAATTGTGATCATGTAAATCTTACCCTTGATGTGAAAACCATTTTTATTTTTTTTCCTTTCTAATAATGGTCATAAAATATATATCCAGGGAAAAGGTTAACTTTGCTGAGCAAAATCCGCACACCCCCACCCCCACCCCCACCCCCACCCCGGTTTTGTCCATGTTATGTGTCTGACCAACTTGTCCTTGTTTTTAAGAGTGTGTAATCTTTCCTTGAGTGTGTGCACCTGAGTGTGTTTATCTTCTCCTACAAATGGGAGTTTTTGATTGCTTTCATCTTTTTGATATTATAGAAATTACTACAAGAAACATGGGTGTGTATCTATCTGCTGTGTGTCTTCATTTCTTTTTAGAGCAGACACCAAGTAGAGAGATTGCAGGCTCACTTTCATATTGCTTAGTGTGCTATAAGAGCTAAAAATATAAAATGACTGAGTCAGTGCTTTAGTAAATTGATGAACAAATAATTGAAATGAAAGAAAAAAACAAGAAGTGGGGAAAATAAGGAAGTCATCAGGTGTCTTCTGGCACAGGGGAAACTATGATGTTGATGTGAGTGACATCCAGTCGATGCTAACTCCTAACAATATGAGTGATAGAGTAGAACTCTACCGTATGGTTTTCTTGCCTGTGATTTTTATGGAAGGAAGTAACTAAGTCTTTCTTCCACTGAAAGACTGTTAGGTCAAATCACCAGCCTTTCGATGAGCATTAGCACAGAGCCCTTACCTACTGTACCAGGAGGACTCCTCAGAGGAGTAAGTCGTAGAAACTTGACTTGAAGATGACCATATGCTTTAGTGAGAAACCATTATGGCTGCCAACACATGCATAATGAACATTTCCATTAAAAAACTTAAATATTTTCTAAGTATTGTGTTCAATAGTATTACAGCCTTCAGCAAATTATTTGGTGTATAAAGTATTTTACCAACAATGAGAATGTAATTTTTTTCCAGGTAATATGTAGTTCTATTTTACCAGAGTACTTACTGAAATATTTTTCTTAGAAAAATATAAGTGTATCACATCTCACAGTAAGAGTGTTTCATATTTCATCATTATATATTATTTATTTTCCCAGTACCTTCAATTAAATAAATTCAGATAAATACCTACCTTGGAAATGTTATAATTAATGAAACAACATATTAAAAATAACCTAAACTTTCATAGTAGCTCATATTTGTTAGATATATTTTTAATTAAATTTAAATCTAAAAATTATTTTTCATGTCAAATCACACTATCCTTATTCTTCTATATAATAAGGATTCAATGACTAGCTCTTACAAACCGGGATTATATGAAGTATTGGTGATATGTACTTCACCTGCCCTTGAGTTTGGTTTTTTTGTTGTTGTTGCTGCTGTTTGTTTGTTTTTTGAGTGTTTAACAGTCTGGTGAAATGTCTCAGATTTCACTGGGTTTTGGTGTACCCTGGGAATATTAGTTTAAAATAAGAGTTCTTTAGTCTCAACTCAGTCCTAAAGGGTCATATGGGAACTGATTAGTTGGCAATGGGCTTGGTTTGAGGTTTTAGTCCCAGATCCAGCAAGTTTAAATCAGTTGGTCTGGGTAAACTTCTTTGCATTAGCATTTAAAATTAGTTACAGGTGTTTGGGAGACTTTTAAAAAGAAAAAGGTGGTTTCCTGAAATAATTCTAGAATGTATTTAAAACTGGGATGGAATTTGCTTAGTCTGATAACTGCAGAAAATGCTAGTGTACATTGGGAAATTGTCCTTGTAAACAAATAAAAGTTATATTTAATTGCTTCATGAAAATGTCATAAAAGAAGAGGAGTTGATTTATCACACTTAATATGTACACTATTTCATTCATTGTTAAATAATAATTTCTATATTTTTTAATTTTAAGAGATATAAGCTATTAAGCAGTGGAAAAGTACAGCATGTGCTGATTTTTTTTTCTATGTCTCCTTTCTGATTGTGTATCACCAGGAAGATCCTGGATTGAGTTGGTCACTATTGAATTATGTTATCTGAAGAACTGCAAAACTATCTGATTAGGAATTAAGCAAAACAACTAAAAATTAATGAACATCTTTTTCCTTACGATGAAGACATACATGTAAAATATGTCTGTCAAAGGTCCAGTGGGATCCTCTAGGAAAAAAATTGCATGTGCATGTGTGTTTATGTATATTAAAATTAATAAATTGGAAGCAGCATTTTTTTTTCGTGATAGAACATCTTTAACCTTATTCTTCTCACATTATAAAACAAATATATTTCTTAATCCTTGAATTGTGGTTGTTATTAAAGTGCCCTCACCAAAGTCTGCGCACTGAAAACTGGAGTTATGATCAAAATGGAAGGAAGGAAAAGGTGGAAACAGGCAAATCTTATTTGAACAAAGAATAGATTTATATAAGTTCAAAACTTGTGTGCATCACCTTGCTTCCTGAAATTTGAGTTCATGTAATTATTGTATATTAAAGCTAGAATAGATCTTATTGATTATTTAAAAATAAAAATTTAGTTCTAAATTGTTTCTATTTATGAATTTGACTCAGGTTCAATGACTCACGCAAGATCACACATTTGTTATAAGCTTCAGAGACCCTCAGTCGGCTAATAGCTCAAATTGAAGGAAAGAGAAAAATTATCTGAGGACGGTGAGGCAGGTAATAAGTTAGTGATCTTGATCATTGCATTCAAAAAATTTTTGACTTCAAATTTCAGGAAAGTTGATCATTTCTCCCCTAGGTAATCCTTTTTTTGTTCATCACAGTCGGAGGTTGATTTCTTTTGAAATTATCAATTAGTGTTACTGGAAAAAAACAACTAAACTATAACCGCTTTTTACAGCTGGATGAAGAAGCCTCGATGTGGCGTACCTGACCAGACAAGAGGTAGCTCGAAATTTAATATCCGTCGAAAGCGATACGCATTGACGGGACAGAAGTGGCAGCATAAGCACATCACTTACAGGTATGAAGATTAGTGCTGGATTGTCCTCTGGCCCTTGCTTTTACCACTATTTACTTTGACAGTTTGTTGGCGATCTTCTTTTTTTGGCTTAATATCGATTAAAGGTTCGGGTAGTGGAGTGAGGGTTGGCTGTAACGTCAAGGTCAGCAGTTTGACACCACCAGCTGCTGCTCGGGAGAAACATGAGACTTTCTATGCTCATAACCCTTTACCTTCTAGGAAACCAAAAGTAACAGTTCTACTCTGTCCTGTAGGATTGCAATAATGTGGAATCCACTCAATGGAAGTGAGTTTGGGTTTTTAAATTAAGAAGCGTTAATTCCTGGAGTTGAGAAGATGATTAATTTTTATTGGTTGGATTTGTGAAAATTCTTTGAGATACTTGGACTCATTTGCAAACCTGCCCTAGCACAGCGGTTCTCAACCTGTGGGTCACGACTCCTTTGGGGGTTGAATTACACTTTCACAGGGGTCACATGATTCATAACTGTAGCAAAATTAGTTATGAAGTAGCAACATAAATAATTTTACAGTTGGGGGTCACCACAACATGAGGGCCTATATGAAAGGGTCGCCGCATGAGGAAGGTTGAGAAGCACTGCTTTAGCTTATGGGATGGAGGCGGTATTATGAGAGACTGAGATGAGCTACATGTGTTTTAGCACACTACAGTCCTTGGCAAGTATTGTATATTTAAAAAACCGTATTTAAATAATCTCCAGGTAAAGACAGGGCCTTTGTATCTATGAAACTGGTTATCATCATCAGCCAAATTACTTTTTTACATATTAGGAGGTGATGCAAATATGTTTTCCTTCAGATGATGGGTGCGCCAAGAGTATGAGTGTGTCTTCCAGGCGCTTGTGACAATTTCTGTTCACAGAATGCTCATATTTATTCATTGAACTACTGTTTATTTAATCCAAATAGGAACAAGGAACTGTGGTAGGGACTAGACATAGGAGAATAAATAAAGCATGGGAACTCTTTTTGTCCTAATGGAATTTACAGCTGTGTACAGAAGTTGAGCAACCATAAATACCATGGCAATTGTGATTGGAAAAGAAGAGTTTTTCATAGAATTGTAAACCAAGGACACTCAAACACTAGAAAAATCAAGGAAAGTCTTCCTAAATAATTGACCTTTCCTCTAAGACCCAAAGATTGAGAAAGAACTACAGTATATCCTCGTTTATCGCAGTTAATCGGTTCTAGGCCCTACTGTGATAAATGAAATTCCGCGAAGTAGGATTCCTTATTTGTAAATCAAATATTTTCGTAGTTAGAGCATAGAGGACATGAAAAAACACTCTTTAGTCA